GGGGAGGAGATGAGCCAGTCAGGGTGCAGTGTAGCAATGATGAAACATACAACTTTCCTCTAGTTCCTAAATGCTTCCTCCTCCCCCCCACCACTATCTTGATCCCAATTCTACCTTACAAATCTGGCTAGACCAGAGAATGTACACTGGTACAGATAGGAATTGGAAACACAGAGAATCCAGGGAGGATGATCCCTTCAGGACCAGGGGTAAGAGTGGCGCAATACCGGGAGGGTGGAGTGAGGATGGGGTGGAAATGGAGAACCCATTACAAGGATCTATGTATAACCTCCACCCTGGGGGACGAACAACAGAAAAATGGGTGACGGGAGACATCGGACAGTGCAAGATATGACAAAATAATAATTTATAAATGATCTAGGGTTCATGAGGGAGAGAGGAGTGGGGAGAGTGGGGGGAAATGAGGAACTGATACCAGGGACTTAAGTGGAGAGCAAATGTTTTGAGAATGATGAGGCCAATGAATGTACAAATGTGCTTTACACAATTGATGTATGTATGGATTGTGAAAGGGCTGTATAAGCCCCTAATAAAATGATTTTTTTTTTAAAAAAGGTACTCATACTCACTGAATGTTTGAAGTAAAATCTGAAGGAGTAAATATATCATAAATTGAAAAAAAAAAAGAAAAGAAAGCAGAAAGTATTAAAAATCTAGAACAAATGTTAAATGGGTCAAAAGGGAGATCAAATGATAAGGTGATACATTTTAGCCTAACTACATCTACCCAAATCTGATTTCTGTCTGATCTTAAGACTTTTCCAATTATAAGTGTCTATGGTATTCATTCAGTGGAACACTTTCCGTTAATTATGAATACTTTCACTGTATTAATGAAAATACTGAGGCACAGATGAGCTAAGTAACTCAGTCATTTCCTCCTCTTGTTCTGTGCTGCACAAAAAACAAGAGCTACTACAAAGACAAAGGGATAAAAATGAAGCCAGGGTTCTACTCCAGATAAGAGGCAGCCAGTTCAGTGTTGGCTCAGCATGTTGGTCCTGCTTTGCTTTAGGTACAGAACACCTGTAAAATCCAACTGGGGAAGGCTTACCCTACTGTGATGAGGAAAGGTGTCTTCCCAGGTGCTGCAGTACCTGTGAGTGATGCAAGAGCTATCCTAGAGGACATGGCAGAGAGACGTTAAAGGTGACTATGTCATCTCGTGATATGATTAGAAAGAATAGGTGAATTCTATTTTCCTTGAAAGTTCTTGAAGTATAACAAAAGTTTCCTTGAACCATTCGACAAAATTTGACACAATTTCCTTTTCAACAGTGATGGTAAAGCAGTGGATCCCTGGTGGCATAGTGGTTACTCATTGGGCTGTGACCTACATGGTCAGCAGTTCAATACTAGACAGGGCTTTCTGAACTCATTAACAGTTCCAGCATGGGAAACTCACACAGGCAGTTATACCCTGTCTTACAGGGTCACATCGAGTCAGCTTTAAAATGACAGCAGTGAGTTTGGTTTTGGGTTTGGTAACGCAGTGCCTATGTAGAATTATTTGGGGGGAAATATCACCATGGTGCTCAACTCTCACTAAAACTCACTGCCATCGAGTCAATGCTGACTCACACTAACCCCCTCGGAGTTTCTGAGACTGTCAGTGTTTATGGGAGTAGAAAACCTAGCCTTTCTGCTGAGGAGCTGCTGGTGGTTTTGAACTGTCAACCGTGCAGATCGCAGCCTCACGCTTAAGCACTACACCACCAGGGAAAAATTTGAAAGGAGTCAAAACACTGGTAATGAGAACATTGATCTTTGTTGCATACTTGCAGCCGGCCAGCCACCTGCACTGGGCATTTTCCTGGGAATTAGTGCATTTACTCCTGACGATCACCAGGTACCTTAGACGGTTACTACTATTCTTCCCATTTCGTAGAACAATGAACAACTGCATTGGTCGATTCTGTTACAAAAGACCCTTTTCAAGTATGCAAAAGCAAGCATGCACTTCGAGGACTAAGGTGTGCGTGATGCAAGCCAGGGGTGTCCATTCATTTCATGCACGTGAGAGCTGGACAATGGGTAAGGAAGTCTGAAGGAGAATTGTGGTGTTGGTGAAGAAGACTGACCATACTCTGGACTTTCAGAAGAGCGAACAAATCTGTCTGGTGACAGGTACAGCCAGAATGTTCCTTAGAAATGAGGATGGCCAGACTTGATCTCACATACCGTGCTTCCCCGAAAATAAGACCCTGTCTTATATTTATTTTTCCTGAAGACGCACTATGGCTTATTTTCAGGAGATGTCTTATTTTTATGAAGTATGGTACAACAATGGACATTTATTCAAATATAGGGAAGTCGTCTTCTTCGGGAACATCGATGAGCCACAGTGCTGAGTAAAAGGGCAGCCCCAGCTTTCCTCCTTCCCCCTGAGGACACACAATGCCTAGAGCAGAGCGTCCTGCCCCTCACTTCCGGAGGAGACCTTGACTTTCACCGTCTGTGTCTCCCTGGATGCCTCAGCTTGCAGCACGCACAGAACGACCGTGACCGGACAGGGGGAACCGACCTCGTGGATGGGGCTGCCGCACCTCTCAGGTCCCCTCCGAGATGGCAGCTGTCCGACAGGGCAGAGGAGAAGGGCTGCCCGTCTTCCTGACCGCTCCGGGTCGGGGCGCTACAGAGCCACGCCCATCACTATGTCTTATTTCGTAGGATGGCTTATATTGTGCAAATGCTTAGGAACCCTGCTATGGCTTAATTTATTGGTATGTCTTATTTTGGGGGAAACACGGTACTTTGCACGTGTACCCATCCATAGAGAAAGGCATTCTATTGAGTAGAGGGTCAGCGAAAAAGAAGCCCTTCAATGAGTTGGTTGGACACAGTGGCTTCCACAATGAAGTCGAACAAAGCAGTGATTGTGATGTGATGCAGGACTGAGCAGGGTTTCATTCTGCCATCCAACGGACCCGACGCAACAACAGATGAGATCGCTCAATCCGAGCGTTCTGACTGATTCAGACCACTGTTTTGCATGCTATACCGGATATACCCTATAGATCATATGTTGACCCGTGGCCCCGAGTTTGATAGGAATACTGTGAGAACAATGTAAATGTACTTAAATTATAACGGCTAATTGTGAATTTTAAAAACCAAGGTGTGTGAAAATGGTGACATTATATGCCTAATACTGCTTTCAAAGTTCTTATATGTGAGTTCTTAAAAAGTCATTAATTTACTTCTGTCTATCAACTTTTCCCTGGTATTCTAAGTTAATCTTATAGGGAAAAAATACTCAACAGAGCTCAAAATCTATCTGACTAAATTAAAAATAAAGACCTTCAAATCGGCATTTGGTAAGGTCAATAAGGAACCCCAGTATCTCAATAGTTAATGGCTCCGTTGCTAACGGAAATATCTGTGGTTCAAACTCAATAGTTGCTCTGTGGGAGAACGAGGTGGCCATCTGATTTTTAAAATATTTACAAACTTGGAGACACTATGGGCAGTTCTATTTTGTCCCACAGGATTGCTAATAGTAAAAATCAACTCAGTGTCAAACACACACACACACACACACACCACAAGATTCATAATAGCACATCAGTACACACCATCCATTCCAAGAGCCACGGTAAAACACTCAATCTAGTCTTAATGGTCAGCACTTGCAGTTACAGAACATGTTTTACTGGCTTAATTTTTAGTTTAGATTCGTAATAAATCATGCAGAATGAGAGAGCTCTCACCCTGAGTGTTGGAAGCATATCATATACATGTTCAGTCCCTATATATTTTTATCAGAGGAGTCTGGGTAGTGGAATTGAGTTGTGATTGGCTAACCTGAAAGTTGCTGCCTCAAACCCACTCGCTGGCTCCATAGAAGGGAACCCTGATGGCCTGCTTCCATAAAGATTATTGCCAAGAGAACCGTATGTCACACAGTTCTATGCTGTCACCCATGTAACTACCCTGTGTCATATACATATGTATATAGAACATATCTAAATAATGTTTAAATAATCTAGAGAAACAAACTTTGAGATTCGGCTACAATGGTAGGATTGGTCAAATTCTATTACAGAACTGGAAGTTGACTTAGCAGCTTACTGCAGAAGTAGAACCCCTGTCGTTGATGAAGGCAGGGTGGCTGACAGGTCTCATCAAGCACAGGAACTCCGAAGCATTGGGAGTTACTTCCTGGGGAAAGACTCTGAAGTGTGAAGAAGGTTTGTGAGGCTACATCTAGACTTGGCAGGCATAAGTGTCCTGCTGTAAGGGTGTCTACAGTGTGCATGGAAGGGAAAGCGTGACACATATGCCAAGCATCTCCCATCCCGTGGCTGCATTTTTATGCTTGAACACGAGAAAATGGTCAAAGACTCCAAAATAACGCGAGATTTTTCCATCACGAGCTGAAAGGCAAGGGTTCATGAAGATCCTGGCTTACTTTTGTGGCCCATGTGCCCCCAGCCTGTGATATAGCAGTATGTATCAGGTTCGACAGACTGATCCGTGCAGGGTAAGCAGACGGGCCGCACGTAGCTTGTCTGATGGATGTCTCTGCTCAGTTCCACGATGCTGATGTCATAGTCCACCACTGCTCGGCTGTAGCGGGGGTGGACGATGACGGTCTTGACGTGGTACACCTGCATGAAGGCCGAAGGGTGGTCCAGATGGTTGAGGCCCAGCACCACTTTCCAGACCGCAGGGTTTTCTCTCCTGAAACAACATTTCAAGGGTGATTGTCATCTTCATGCCAGCTTTGTCTATTACAATTCATATGACTCTTAAAAATAATCGAATCTTATTTATTGACTCATGAACATATTCATGTAAAAAGCATTGCTGATATACTGGCCTAGATGATCAGTGAACATTATTGTTGTGGAAAACAAAGCTCATGCTTCTCAAAGGGAACTATTCGAAAAAATAAAAGGCGTTCCTTTTTAAAGGCAGACAAAGTAGCTACTTCTTTGGTTGAAGGGGAATGTAATGGAAAGACTGCGGAAGAGACAGAAGAGAAAGAGGGAAATGATGAAAGAGCCTAAAAAGCCACAGCTAAGTGATCACTCCTAGAAAGGACATGGGCCTGGGAGAAATATCAAGTTGGGAAGGCAGGGGAGCCTTCAGAAAATGTCCAGACAGGGACTGAAACAGGTCACCCATAACTCCCAAGCTACCTGTCTCAGCCCCCATTGTTTTCAAATACTTGCCAACAACCTTCTAGGCAATTCCTACTTCAACACATGCTCATCACTTGACTTCCTGGTAAGCCCACACTCCAGAACTTCATCTGATCTCATGGTTCAGAAGACCTCCTCCCAGTCTTCTTTGCCTGCTGGTCCTACTCTGCTCTCGAGCTCTAGGTTGAAGTGTCCTATGACTCTACCATCAACCTTCTCTTCTTGTTACAGGCTTAACCATGCATGATTTAATCCAGGTCACTAACTTGAATCAATGTCACATTGACTCCCAAACATTTCTCCCCAGGTCCAGCCTTTCTCCTAAGTTGCAGATTTGAATATCCAAGTTGGATAGAATAAATGTCTACTCAGCATACTTATTTGGAAGTTGGATAATGGCTATAATTTATTGGGTGCATACCAGGGACTTAAGGAGCTTGGGTGGCATAGTGGGTTACCAATGGGCCTGCTAACCCCACTGTCAGCAGTTTCACTCACCTTAGACCAATCGAAACAGAAGCACTTGAGCTGAAGCCTGGGTACTGGTATTTTTAGCAGTTCCCTAGGAAGCTTCAGGAAAAGCCCATCCACACTCCTTGGCATGCTCCTTTTCACCATCAGCATGGCACAGGTTCGAAGGCTGACATTTCCCAGTTAGAAAGAAATGTACTCTGGCCAGCACTCAACTTACTTGTAGAATGATTGGCTACTCAAGCCAGACTCTGCTATAAGTCTCCTCTACACAGCCTATCTGGGACCCAAAGGAGTCCCATGTGTGAGCAAAGGAAATTCACGAAAGGTAAGCACATGCCTTCTGGAAGTAACCAACTATGTATTGGCCTGGTTTTATCTCCTGAGCATCTAATTTCTTCAAGAACCCTGGAAAGAGGAGTCATGATAGGACAGAATTTAGTCATTCAGAATGAATTCTGGGTCACTGAACAAATGTGTAATATACATTCTGCCCCTTTTTCACTTTAAACAGAAATAATTTCAGAGATTTAAAAATTGTGGAAAATGAAAAGATAATAGAGTTTTTCTATGAATTCTAGAAAATAATGTACATGTCTCCCAGGCATTTCGTTAGTAGGGATTAAAAAACTAATGAAGAAAGACATGATTCTTGCCTATGTAAATTTTAAAATTTGAGTGATGATGAACAGTTAAAGAGGCAATTGCAATAAAGTGCAGTGAATGTTATCTTAAGAGCATTCTAAGATGTTGCAGAATATTTTATTCTTTCACTCCTTCTCTTTCTTCCTTTCCTCCCTCTTCCCCCACTAACTTCTTTTCCTTTGTTTAATCTAGAGAAGTAAGTACATGCCCATTTGGGAACTCCAAATTGAGCTTCTATTGTTTCAGAATTGTGAAACTAATTATCACAAATCTCTACTTATTTAATAGCTTACTGCATTTGAAGCAGAACTGCTAAATTTTTGGTCATGACAAACAGTGATCCATCTTTTTTCTGGCACAAAGCTTAAATCATAAAAACGTATTTCAAACAACTGAGAGCTCTACATTATTTGTAATAAAATGAAATAATGCCAAAATCCCAGAGTGTATTATGGTTAATCTAATTCTAAAAGGTACATAAGCAAAAGCATCAATAAACGTTCTGAATGTCATTAACTTGTGTCCAGTAGTCACTTGGTACATAAACATCTCTCCATCTGGCATCAATGTGGCATCAATGCCACCAAATGTGAAGACAAAACAAAGAATTAAAAGCAGAGCCCAGAAGAACAAAATACATAAGCTATTCAGATACGGTACTTCTCCTTCTATGCCAGTGAGCGGTTATTGGTTTTGTTTTGAGTATGATGTTAAAAATAAGGAAGTATCCTCATTCTTTTTCTGAGTCAGGAAGAAACCAGGAACAAAAAAGAATATGATGTTGGAAAGGGGAACTCTTATTTGAATATGATGTTTCAATGGGGGAGATATTGAAATGGCAAAGTGTTCTATGCCATTTTCTTTGTGCCATAAAAAAAAATAAGTAAGAAATAATGGTGGAGACATGCCTGTCTCTAAACCCAGAATCAAACCTTGCACAACCCTATTGGCTGTAATTTTTCCAGAGCAGATTGCAAGGTGTTTCTTCCTTAGAACAATCAATGGCCTCAAATGACTGGACTTTCCATTTGCGCCAGTCACTGGGCCACTGTGCCTCCAAGGCCCATCCTTGCCTCCAGGTAGAAGTCCAGAGCGAGGAGCCTTTCTGCCTACTTGAAACCACGAGATTGGTATCAGCTCAAACACACTCAGAGAACGGGCTGCATTCACGTGGCTCTTTGAGTGAATGAGCTCAATAGAAGTAAACGAAATGCCCAACTGAACACCTCCAGCATACAGAGGACTGCTTTCCCCTTCACTATCAAACCTCAGAACAGCAGCCAAGAGAACGAACTACCTGGCTGAAAGGAGAGGGAGAAGAGGAGGGCAACGAAGCACAGGGAAAACAAGAAGCTACTCTCTTTTGGCTATCTAGGAGAAAAATAAAGAGAGGGTTTCAAGAAGGGTGTAGCAATCAAGTACTGGAGTGTTCCTGTGATTTGAAAACTGAGAACTGACCATTCAGTTGGGCAAGATGGAACCCAATGAACACTTTTAGGGGCCAATTCTTGATGAAAGCCCAACTGGAGCGGGTTGAGGAAAAACGCACGTTGAGCAAGTGAAGACAGTGACTGGAGAAACCTTTTTTTAGGGGGCTGATAGCTGAAATGGGGGTTCCTGAAGAGTTATGTTAAGAGAAGGGTTAAGATTAGTCATTTTAAAAAATCATTTTATTAGGTGTTTATACAACTCTTATCACAATCCATACATACATCAATTGTGTAAAGCACATTTGTACATCGAATGCCCTCATCATTCTCAAAACATTTGCTCTCCATTTAAGCACCTGGCATCAGGTCCTCTCATTTTTCCCCCTCCCACCCTGCTCCCCCCTCCCTCATGAGCCCTTGATAATTTATAAATCATTATTTTTAAAAATTATTTTATTGAAGGCTCGTACAATTCTTATCACAACCCATACATCCATCCATTGTGTCGAGCACATATGTACATTTGTTGCCCTCATCAATCTCAAAACATTTGTCCTCTACTTTAGCCCTTAATATAATTTGCTAATTTTCACCCTCCCTCCCC